AGCATCCAAAACACTGAAATACCTAGGAATCAACCTAATGAAAGCAATCAAAGACCTCTACTCTAAAAACTACAGCACTCTGAAAAAAGACATTGAAGAGGATATCAAAAAATGGAAAGACATCCCATACTCCTGGGCAGGAAGAACCAACATAGTGAAAATGGCCATACTTCCAAAACTGCTATACACATTCAATGCAATCCCAACTGAAATTCCAGCAGCATACTTCACAGACCTTGAGAAAACAATCCAAAAATTCATTTGGAACAAGAAGAGACCTAGAATAGCAAAAGCATTTGTAGGCAACAAAGACAAGGTACGGGGTATCACAACCCCCAACTTCAAATTATACTACAAAGTTACTGTGATTAAAACAGCATGGTAATGGGGCTGGGGATTTATCTCAGTGGTGCTGCTGGCTGCCTCGAAAGTGCAAGGTCCTGAGTTCGATCTCCGGTACCAAAAAACAAAACAAAACAAAACAAAAAACCAAAAAACTCCCAAAAAGCATGATACTGGTAAAGAAACAAACCCGAGGACCAGTGGAACAGATTAGAAGGTGCAGAAACAACTCCAGACACACTCAGCCATCTTATCTTCGATAAAGGAGCCAAACACCCTCACAGGAGGAAAGATAGCCTCTTTAGCAAATGGTGCTAGAAAAACTGGGCTTCAACTTGCCAAAGATTAAACTAGACCTATAACTCTCACCATGCACTAAACTAAAATCAAAATGAATTAAAGATCTAACCATTAAAACAAACACTAAACCAGCTGGAACAGAGGTTAGGTAGAACTCTTGAAGACATTGGTGTAGGAAAAGATTTCATGACCAAAACCTCAGTTGCACATGAACTAGCACAAAGAATCAAGAAGTGGGATCTCCTCTTATTAAAAAGCTTCTGCACAGTGGTAGAAAACAGTGTGAAGTAACCTACAAGGTAGGAAAAATTTTTTACCAGCTGTTCCTCAGACAAAGGTCTACTATCTAGAATCTATAAAGAATGTAAAAAAAATCAGACCTCCCAAATTTAAAGATCCAAACCAAAAATGGGTGCCTGAAATGAACAGACATTTCTCAGACAAAGAAGTAGAAATAGCAAATACACATATGAAAAAATGTTCAATATCACTGGTCACTCGAGAGATGCAGATGAAAACAACACTGAGATTCCACCTCATCCCAGAAAGAATGG